AATTTAGTCACATTTAGTGACTACAGGGAAAAGAGTTGACTTCTTGCCCTATATTCACCCAGGCAAACCCAAGATATGTCCTCACATAAAACTGAGAAAAGCTTACACAATCATTTCCCCATGAGTGTTTTAAGCAGCCAACATCCAGGATATACGACAGGAAAACGTAATGGTGTTTATGTGGTGTTTTCTAACGACTGAAAAAAAGCTGTAATGGCGGGGGCCGTCTCAACCGCAAAACAATTAAGGCCTTCAAAAACCGGACTGTGCAACTGCTGCGCATAGACCACCACTTGACTTGAAAAATAACTGGACATTTGAGCAAGACCCACAAAACAGCTCTCACTTAGCTGACATAAAACAGGATAAATATGTGCATCCATCCAAGAGTTTACTATTTTGCATGGAAATGTCCTGGAAAGTATTGCTCTTTGGAGAGTTATTTTACTTTGCTTAAATATAGGGCTGCTTCCAGCTCTAGTTTGTTGAGGACTAAAACTCAGTCTGTGCTGAACAGGCTGAAACTGCAAATGCATGGACAAAACAAATAACCAAAGATTGTTTCGCAATATTTCTTGATGTTTTAAGAGATAAACAAACATTATTTCCATGTTGCATGCTAACATAAATGAGCAGATTATTTCCACTCCTACGTTTTGCAGACATGCAGAAATTCGATTGAGACTTAGATTGCATTAGTCGCACGCAGCATGCTGAGGCATGGAGATGTTGGTCATGACAGTAATCACATTATGAATCTGTTGGCCGTCAAAACAGTACACAAGTCATCAACTCAGTGCTCACAAAATGGAGACGGCCAGGTTGTGCGTGTATCCATGTTAACAGAGTTTGTCGAACCAAAACTTGACATTTATTTGTGGTTACTCTTTCAATTCCTGTTCTTACCATGTTTTGCTATTAAGTGCAATCTGGTCATCAGAACCATGTTTTGGTCAACAGACAAAAAAAAGTTTAATTCTATAGTATATACTGTATCTACATTGTTACAGCACTATAATTTTGTTAGCCCAAGCTATTGTATACATTACCTCAGTCTTATATTAAAGGGATACTCCACCCAAAAATGAAAATTCTGTCATCATTTACTCACCCTGAAGTTGTTGCAAACCTGTATGAGTTTCTTTCTTCTGCTGAACACAAAGGAAGATATTTTGAAGAACGGTTGAAGCCAAACAGTTGTTTGGCACCATTGACTTCCATAGTAGAAAAAAAAAAAATACTATGGAAGTCAATGGTGCCAAAGTTCCAATCGTTCTTCAAAATATCTTGCTTTGTGTTCAGCAGAAGAAAGAAACTCATACAGGTTTGCAACAACTTGAGGGTGAGTAAATGATGACAGAATTTTCATTTTTGGGCAGAGTATCCCTTTAATGCAACTCCACACATGAAGCACACAGCAGAATCAACTCACCTTATACAAGGTAAAAAAAGTGTACCATCTCATTATATTATACCTTGTATTATTATACTTGTAGGCATTTGATTTGAAGTGCATACACACAGTATATACTGAGCTTCTTGCAATGCTGGTTTCAATGTTGGTGTTGCCTTCTCCACGAAGGATATATGTTAAGTGTCATTTTAATTTTACTAAAACAGTATGATGAAGGTATAATTATGCTGCCTACCTTTTAAAACTTTGGTGTTGGTCCAGTGACTATGATGCCTAAAATTGCTGCCTACGTAGGGAGGTCACTAGGTTTGGGAACAGAGAACTAATGATGACCACCACAAATAAAATATACACCTTCCTTTATACATTTAAATAAAAGCTGTATGCATAGCTGTATGTATGTGGTTTCCCTTGAGATCAGCTCTTACACAACCAGACCTGCTTGAAATGAAATCATGCGCACTGTGAAGAGGAGGCCTGCAGCATGCTGGGTTGTCAGTCAGTTTGACTTTAACCTTTGCGACAATTTCCTGGCTTGTCATGCTCAGGAAAACATAATATGCACAGCAAAACCACTGCATATTAGTGATGGTTTCCTTTTAAAAGGGGCTGGTTGAATTAACAAACCCATTTCCTGTACATTATCATTTCTCTAACTGCCCAATACACCGGTCTACAGGCAATTTAATGTGGACACACATTTATCGAGCATAACAGCCCAACAATATCACATACAGGAAATGAGGAAATCCTGTGCCATGACTTACGAAATGCTTCCAGGTCATTGTGCCTTGTCCTAGAGGAAATGGATTAGATTGACTGCAGTCTTAACACAAAACTGAGATAAATGTTTTGCTTTATTGTATCATTATAATTGGGCTGCCAAGTTCTACTTTTCTTCTTTATTTTGTAGATCAGTACAAGGACAGTAGCCTCACCCTGAATGTGGCTGTCAGCACCAATCATGTCCAGTGCTACTGCAACCCAGATCTCAAGCCAGGCAGAGATGGAAATGATGATGAAGAAAAAGATAGCAGTAAAGTGCCTCTGGTAAGAGCTCTCAGCTCTCAGACACACACTTCAATAGCAGAATGAGACACTGAAAATAAATTATCTCATTAAATTAATAATAATCTAATATGTAACAGTAATGCAATAATAATGTAATAGCAATCTAATAGTGTATATAATGCGGATTAAAACTACATACAAGTTAAAACAAAATTAACTTCTGTATTATTTAGCACACATTTTTGAGGGTGGGGCTTGGTTTTATTCATCAGGATTTTACTGGATTGTTATAAGAATTTACAGGGGCATATTATTGGTTAAAACAATTGTTTTTGTGCAACTTTTATTTTTGCAACCTGACTCTTCATTATCTTCATGTGCCGTTAATCCTCAAATCCAAAAGCTATGCTACCCGGTAGGATATTTGGTTTGAAAAAGCTCTTATCAACACAAAGTAAGAAGCATCTGTCAAGTTCCTTATGGTGGTGGAAGAGGAGAGATTCCCTGATATGATTGTAAAGCACTTTGGGTGTACAGTAGTACATATGAAAGCGCTATATAAATGCCTCATTCATTCATTCCTTAAGTATTTAGAAGTCATGTTTCGGTTTTCCATCTGATCTTAGTAGTGATTCTCTTAACCCTCCACTGGTGGCTCCCAATTATCACTGTCTAATACCAAAGGCATCTAAGCACTTAAGCAGAATGTGTCCATATTTCCAACTGGAGACCGAATTTACATAATTATAAAGTGTTGACTTGCCAGATTTAATGATCAAACTATTTTGAATTGTATCAAAGATGTTGCTTGGTGGGCAGCGCTCCTATTTCAACCAACTACACTGCTGCTTATGCAGACATGACCTCGTATCAACTATCTTAACATTTCCTGATCCTCTTCCCCCACCTTCTTTCTGTTGTTTCCAGTCTCATCTCCTACCAGATAGCTATCATTAAAACTGTAAAAATAGCCAAAATAAAACAGAAAGAATCTATTTTGTACTGGGCAGTACTTCATATTGTGATTGCAAAAAATAATCCCTCACAACAACCAGTGTCACAACAACACTTATTGGAGACATGGCGTCTTGTGTAATTGAGTTTTGTGGAGTCAAAATCAGAGGCAGTAGCCAAGCAATACTAATGCAGTCAGTCACACATGCATGTTTCAAACCCCAGAGGGAAGCTTTGAACCTTTGCTTGCACAGCTAACCCGGGTGGGCAGCACAAGCTAAAGGAATCAACAGTAATGTACAGAGGTCAAGATGTTGAAAAGAATATCAAATCTGGATCCGCCGTACAATATAAGACCATTTTTTCCCAATTCTGCCCACCCCCATCCCTCAGCAGGTGTCGTGCGGCAAGGTCAAAATAAGCTCCAGGGAAGGAGGGGAAATGAGTATAGCTAAAAGACTGAATTCCATTTTCTCATATCTCAACTCAGTGGATTCACTTCACACCACATATTTCTGGCTGCTCTAACATTAAAAAAGCAATACACTGAGGCACTACCTTAGAATTTAGACTATTGTTCAGTGTCAGATTGTTGAGAGAGAATTTATAATTGCTAATCACACTCATATCATCACTTACCATGTTAAATATTCAAGTATCATATGACTACCTAGCAAAGGAAGATGACTAAACAATAGCTGAGCGCAAAGGTAAATAGCTAATAAGTCACCACCCTGTTAATGTATTCTTAAATAAAAACAAAACGCACAATGTTCATGTGCCGTTGCCATCTCATTCTGAGTCACTGACCTTCTCAAAGAGTGTGACATCCCTATTATTCTCTTTTGAAGTACCCCGGTAACAGAAAGAGGGAGAGGGAAGGGGAGAGAGGAAAAGAGAGGGGGACCATCTGTCAACTGCCCCAGAGATCAATGGCACCAGCGGCAAGGCTAAATATGTTGCCCACCATGACTTGAAAACAATTCAACCCAGCGAGGTTTATTTTTAAGTTCCCACAATGACATCAAGCATCATTTACTTAACTGTTTCTAGCGTTAGTTTGTTTACATTATTTACAATGATGTGTGCTGAACTGAGGCTTATCATTGATGTAGAATTGGTCAAATATCTGCAAAAATAAAAATAGTAAATCGATGTGGACGTCCAAACCAGCAGCTAAGGACACACATTCTGAAGATTAGGGCAGTATGTCAACTCTACTACAATAGTAAGGCAAATATACCCCTGGATCAACCCCTACCCCCCGATTGGAGCGTAGATTGGTCTCATCCAATACGTGCAGAGATGCAAGGCATGAGCTTGCAATGTAAACAAAAAGGGATGCAGCGATTGTTCAATGGAACCACACAGTGATTGAAATGCAACAATCAAAATCACTAACATGCAGATGCAGCTTTGAGCCAAGAATAGATGTATGGATGAAGAAAATGTGCATAGTTATGTGAGCAGCACAGGATGAATAAGAAATAGAAAGCCAGGTGGTTGCTAAGCAAGAGCAGGGCTGGGTTTAGCTATAGAGGTGATGCTGGATCCGTCAGCCAGGCAGCATTGCTCATTCCTCAGCATTGCAAGCAGATTAGTTGATCTTATTATTACTTACCCAACATCTGACTGAAGAGAAGCTGCTCCAGGTCCCCAAGTACCGTTACAACCAGTTCAGGGTCCACCTTTAGGAAGGTCTTGTCTCCTTCCTCTGGTTCTGGTGCATCTTTGCCCCCTCCACCTCCACCTGGTGTGGCTGCTCCCGAGGTGCCATTTACAGATTTCTTACCATTAGCCTTAGCCTTGCTGGACAAGATCTCATCATCCGACTTGCTATCATCTGCCAGCTCTTGAGCTTTGCTGATGGGTTTGACCTCAGCATAAGGACCCTTAGGTATCCGACTAGGTTTCCCCAGCTTGGAAGGTGGGATAAAGGGTTTGGGCTTTCCTAGAAACAGTGAATGTTCCGACTTGGAAAGGTTTTTGGAAAGAGGGATACCCTTGCCAGTACCCCCTCCGGCATCTTTGAGCTTGCCTGACTTGTTCTGACCTGCCCCAGGCTTTTCCATGTCATCCGACCACTTGGGCTGGTACAGGTGCATCTTCTTCTCAGCGTCCGTAAGCACGCATAGATTGGTCAAGGACTTTTGTTTGCGCAGGTTGCAAGGAACTGGAAGACGACCCTCAGAGTTTCCTGCTCGGTAGACCTTTAGCTCAGCCCGAGGAGTAGCCTGTGGGAGCCCTGACTTGCCCCTTTTCGCAGCCATGCCCCCAACTCCTTTGGCACCCGCCTGGCCCTGAGGGGTCTTGGCTTTGGAGGTTTTGTCAGCCTCAGTCTCCAGATCTACTCCTTGTCCTCTTGGGCTACCCCCAAGCATTCCTCCTGCGTGAAACCATGTAAAAGCATCAGTGAGTCAAAGGGTTTTACAATCGAGCAAAAAAAGAGACAAGGTGCAAGGTTTACAAGCTCTGATCGCTTGCTGCCAAATCCTTATCACAGGGAGAACTAGCTCTCCAACAACACATACAGAAAGACCAGTCAGTAGATCCTGTATTGAAGAGGTAATCCGTGTAGCTGGTGTCTTTAGCATGTAAATCCAGCATCTGGGTCCTCTCAGCTAGACTGCCTCAGTTGCAGCTGCTCTAGTGCTACCCAGTCACTCATTTTCTCTCTCTTTCTCTCTCTCTCTCCTCCCTTCAGCAGTGTCTTGCTGCTTTGCTGTGCAGCAGCAGAATGACAGAGAAGACAGACGCAGAAACGGTCCCTCCCCTTGCTCCCCCGCACTCATTCAACCACACACACCCTCCTCCTCCCGCTTCTCTTCTGGCGCTCTCTCTCTCTCTCTTTTCCTCTTTCTCTCTCCAACACACCCACTCTAAAGATACTATACTGCTCCCCTGCACAAGTGTTATCGTATGAAGGACCTGTGGTTTAAACCGTTGCCTGTCAGCATGCTTCCTTTACTGGCTCTCTTTGGTTCACTACAATGCTCTGTTATCATAAAACCAATAATGTTTTCACTGCAAGGACATAATCACTAGTAACATTATGCTGTCAGACTTGTGTTGATTTTAAGAAATGTTACATTATGAAAACTGATTTAAATGACTATTTTAGAATATCTAGGAGCGTCTGTAAAAACTGTGTTTGCATATTTATTACTTGTCAGAATCTTAAACCCTCTGTAACAGCCAGGACCGGAAGCATCATACCATTACAAAACTTTTATAATTAATTTGCACATATTAAACATGGCAGAGATCTTCCATTCACATACCTAAATTTTGTCAGTCCAGTTGAGTCCCACATTCCAAAGATAATTTGCTTTAGAAAGGAAAATTCTGTCATCATCTACCCACACTCATGTCACTCCAAACTGAACAACAGTACATTTGAATAATTTAGCTGGATTCATTTAAAAAAAAAAACACAATTTATGATATACTAAATTGGATTTGAAGCTGGATAAAACATATATTATTACTAATATATTCATTAAAATTATCAATAAAAATTCATATTATTTAAAAAGTAATAAAAAATACCAACCATATCAAATGTTTTCTTTTTTCTAGTCATATTTTATCTAATCTGGGGAGCCAAGTTTGCCAGGATTGCCACTGCATATATATAAAAAAAAAGACACTTTGTATGACACTTCAGGCTATAACAAATGTATAGGACAATTAGGTATTGGGTCTGATGTGTCACAGTGAATTACCCACATGAAAAAAAGATTGAGCTTCGGAAAGAACAACCGCCATTCTGTCAGAGGATGGACCTAATTTTTCACCAGCGTTTGGAAGGGCATGTCACAACAGTACGATACACACAAGACCGCACACAGTTCCTTCCTCTGAAGCCAAAAGGGATCTAGCCATGTTTGAATCAATTTTGAGAGCGCTCTACTTAGTTCTGTCATTTCATCTCAACAGGGCCAAGCTCTACCAAACAGACCATCCAAGTGGAAATAACTGACCTCACACAACATCTTAGCTCAAGGACACAGGGATGATAAAGCAACTCAATATATCATTCTCTCTGTATTCTTATCAAGTTTGCAAATAACTGTAGAGGCACTACTATTGCACGTAATAACATAAACTCAACTTATGTCTCAACATTTATCTATCAATCAATCAATAGGCTCAAATAGAGTGCATGCTTTCAGGCTGGTGCATTACCTTATCCATTAATTAATATGCATAATACCTCCGTTTCTTCCCATCATGCACTTAATGCACTAATTCCTGATGGCAACCTGTACTAAACGAGTCAATAAGAACATCGCTGAACAAAGTCTATGAAAGTTTATGAAACATCTTTGCAGTTTTTTGGCGGAAATCCAAAGGGCAAACGGAAATATTCAAATGCAGCAAACAGCTTTAAAGGGAAACAGTGTTGGTGCTACCCTTTAGAGACAGTTATGAACAGTATTAAAAAAAATCATTTGCATACTACTGGTCAGTCAGTCAATTAAAATTCTGGCACTTTTTGAAGGCCACAGAAGCATTTAAAAATACATTATACAACAACAATAATAACACAAACTACTCTTAATATATTCTGAAGAATTTCCCACTAAAATGGTCTGATTAGTTTTTAGAATGTTGCTATGAAGTTGCCATGCTCTGGGTAGTTGCCAAGGTGTTGCTAGGTGGTTGCTTGCTCAAAAAGCCCATCTCAATGATATTCTGGTCTCTAAATATGGCTTGAGTCTCTCCTTCAGTGCAAGATTTCATCATAGGAAAATAACAGTACATGATTTAAAGTATCATTCCATTTTAAAAAACAGTTAGTATTTTCACCGAATGTGTTAACCTCATTCTAACTTCGTATTTCTAATGCCAGACGTGATTCAAGGAGGCAAACATATCCAAACCAGCAGGCTAGTCCAAAGTTCCTCCCAGTAGAGACATTAATGTCACACCAGATATAAAGTGGATGGAATAACACACAGAGCTAGATCTGTTCATGGGGAAGCCCTTGCTTATAAACAGCACTCTGTTTTGACCGTGGGCTCAAGATAGCGCACTCGCGTAAATTTCACCACAGGTCGCCACCTCCTCTCTTACTTGTGGGGCTCCAACACTGAGCCGACTGTCCTGTGCTGAAGACCCAGACACCATTGCAAAAAATTGCTGGATAAACTTCAGAGTAACTCAAAATTTAGCTTCAGTCAAACATTCAAAGTCCAATTGTATGACCCATTTGTCATTTTGTAACTTTCCAAAGAGATTGCAGTTTAAAAGTGTCTTATCAGATGTGTATCAAATGATTGTATGTGGAGGGACTTTCAAAAACCTTGCCTAAACCTTTAGGCCAATCCTATTAATTATTAAATTGTAAAAATAAAATAGTATTATTAGACGTATTAATATTAGCTGTTAAAATATATTTTCTATAAAAAAATTTTTTTTAAAAAATATTAAAAGGAGACATTTTGGTGTCTCATGATTACTTGTACATTTGTCTACACTGTAAATAAAACATTGGTGTACGTTTTACAAAAAAGTTTTTTGTCAGTGTACTGTTATGCCTTGAAATCTATTCTGTAATTTCCCCATAGGGATAATTAAGACACTGCTACCTAAACAACTTTCCAGAACAAGAATGCACTAGAACTTTTAGAGAATTATTTTGTAAAATTAATTTTGCCATCACCATGACCATAAGAGCCCAAAATTCCCAAAATATGGGAGCAATAAGAAAGGCAAAGAAAGCATATAAGGTGATAACATATTGCATTCAGCTTTAGCCAAAAGTTCTGTCAAAAATTCACATAACACTTAGTTGAATACATGTATCTCTTTGGCTTAAAGCAAGCATATCTGTTTACTGTTTTCCAGTTGTTAAACCTTTCTTAAAAAGGAAAAGGTCTATTACTGGTGGTTAAACTACACCACACCCGAGTATGACTCAGTCCAAGGGCCGATGTTTCCAAACAAAGCCACAGAGAGCAGAGGAACTAAGAGGAAATCCTCTCTACAAGCCAGACTAATGCTGGGCCATACTCATGACCTCTACTTCACTGGCTACCTACTCAAGTGTTCTCGTACGGCTGTGCGTCAATTCCTGTAGTATCTTACACATACTACTCCCTCACATACTATACTTATTTGTATGTCTATAAAAGATGGTTATTATAGGAAATAGGAAGCACATTCCTCTCTACTGTCCCACTCAGCAGTGTAATGTGTTAACTGTTAATCAGTTTTCAAATAAACTGCAATTTTCTACTGGATTCATAAGTACAAGATGACCTTAAAGAAAAACACTCCCGCAGGCTGTCAGGCAATGTTCTGAGCCCAAAAAAAATCCCGTTCCAGATATGAAAACATGCTTTCTCAGGCTAGCTGCAAAAAAAATCATATTCTATTCTATTATAAAGTATATAATAAGGCCTTGAATGGAGTCATATCTGATTATCTGATTGGCCCACGTGTTACAAGAACATTTGCATTAGAATGCAATTCTTACTTTACGATTAGTGCCACTATGATGTCTGCTCCCTAAATGAGCACTGCTCACTCAATGGGCTTTCTTTTCCAAAGCACTGACCCAAAGAGACAAAGCAGGCATGAAATGAGCCGAACACATTATTAAAAAATGTCTTAATGCGTGTCCTTGTGCGACTCTTATACAGTAGTTGTCAGGTGTAGGTATAGGAATCGACAGAGGAGTAGAAAACAAAATAGCCTTTATTATAACCCACTAACTAAAACCAAAGTCCCTTTAAGACAGGTCATTTCACTCGGCGGCCATCTTTGAAACACCTCTCAGGCATGAAAGTGCAGCTCCTATCTCTTTGAAACATCAAATTCTCCAAAACTGTTTGCCAAACTTACGATTAAATTTGAAATCACCAACGAAATCTGACACCAACTGTTTCTAAACGCTCGAATCATGACAGAAAACGAAATATTTCAGTCTGGATCAAGCTAATGCTAATGCGCAGTAGAAGCTCGCGTCTGACTGTTTCTATAGGAACCGGAGTTTCTAACGACAGCTGCAGTGACGCGATGACTTTACCAATCACCGATTGGCTCTTATTTAGAAGGTGGGACTTATTCCGCCATATTGAGCGTTGCACTTTTCCCCATTTAAAACGATACGAGTGACGCGCCTTGTGTTATTCTATAGTCTTTGCTAAAACACAGGAGATCGCTGGAGAATAATGTAACACAACCACTTAACATAGAAAATGGAAAACAGGAAACTGAAGGCTTAAAGCCTCCCTGTAGTCAATAATTGTATCCCTTAAAATTCATTTTTGATCACCAAAATGACATTCTCTAAAAAAAAATTCTTGAAAAATATGTCTTCATGTCTTAATAGCTTGAATGTAACTCTACACCCGTCTCATTTTCTATTCGCGGTTC